AATGTCGAGGGTTTAAGTGGAGAGAAAATGTTTTGAGAATGATGTACAAATGCGCTTTACACAATTGATGTGTGTATGGATTGTGATAACAGTTGTATGAGCCCCTAATAAAATGTTTTAAAAAAAAAAAGTAATTTCAGCATTGTGGGCTCATCTTTCCTTGGAATGAGTACAAATATGCATTTCTTTGTTTTTCAAATTTCTTGGCATAGATGAGTGAGTGTTTCCAGTGTTCGGTTAGCATACTAAAATAGTTCAGTTGATAGTCTGCTAATTCCTGGAGCTTTATCTTTTGGCTAATGCCTTCATTGCAGGTTGGACTTCTTCCTTCAGCACCATTGGTTCTTGTTCATATGCTACCTCCTGAAATGGTGGAATGTTGACTCATTCTTGTTGGTACAGTGACTCTGTGTATTCCTTCCATCTTCTATGATACTCTTGGCATCAATCAACATTTTTCCCATAGAATCTTTCAATATTACAACCCGAGACTTGAATTTTTTCTTCAATTCCTTTTGCACGATATGTGTTGAGTTTGTCCTTTGTTTTTCTAACTCCAGGCGTTTGCACATTTCATTTTAATACTTTGCTTTGTCTTCTCAAGATGCCCTTTGAAATTTTTTGTTCAGCTCTTTTGCTTCATCGTATCTTCCATTTGCTTTAGCCATTCTGTGATCAAGAACAAGTTTCTGAATCTCTTCTCGCATCTACATTGATCTTTTCTTTCTTTCTCCCCTTTTAAATTGTCTTTGGCTTCCTTCCCGTATGGTGTTCTTCATGTCATCTCACAGCTCATTAGGTCTTCTGTCATCAATGTTCAATGAATCAAATATATTCATGAGATGGTCTCAAATTTTAGTTGGAATATACTCAAGGTTGTATTTTGGTTATCATGGACTTGTATTCATTTTCTTCCTCTTCAAAGTGAACTTATAGATGAGCATATGATGGTTTATCCCACAGTCAGTCCCTGACCTCATTTTGACTGATGATATTGAGCTTCTCCATTGTTTCTTTCCACAGACGTAGTCAATTTGACTTCTGTGAGTTCCATTATGGTAGTTACATAAGTTCATGTCAACTTGTTAAATAGAGTGTAGGGGTGGAGTCTGGCCTGTCAATCAGGTTGCAGCTTGATGATGTCTCCTTGGGGGTGTGGCCTTCTCATAAGAAGGGTCCTGGGGACCTCCCCTCCACTCCCCTCTCTGCTTTCACCTTACTGCTGACAAGCCATATGGAGCCACGATGAGACCTGCAAGAGCCCTGGAGATGCTTCCACCACCACTGGATCCACAAGACTTTGCACCCACTTGCCTCTGATCTTCCTGCATTTTGCATCATTGCATGTTTTGCGTGAGTCTGAAGAGGGACTTATGGACTAATAGCAGGCTTATAGGTTAATATTGGACTTATGGATTTGATCTCGACTGGACTTGGATGTTTTCTTACTATACAATTACTCTTTGATATAAAGCTCTTTCTTGTACATATATGAGTGTCTCTGATTAGTTTCTCTAGTCAACCTGGTCTAACACATCCATCTAAAGAAATCCATGTGACAGTAGCCTTTTGGGTTCTTGAAAACAGGTGTTTTGGATGAAGTCATTGGTCTTCAAAAATTCCCTCATGCGATCTCCAGTTCTGTTTCTATCATCAAGGTTATATTTCTCATGCTGCTCTTTCCTATTTATTTCCAACATTTGCATTCCAACTGCTAATAATTATCAGTGCATCTTGATTGCATGTTTGATCATCTTCATACTGAAAGCTTTGGTAGAATCATCCATTTTTCCATCACTAGCTTTAGTGATTGGTGCATACATTTGAATAATAGTTGTATTGCCTAGATATTCTTGTATGTTTATAGATATTATACTTTCACAGACATCATTAGACTTCAAGAGAGATCTTGAAATGCCATTCTTGATAATGAATGCAATGTCGTTCTTCTTGATTGTGCCACTCTGACATAGTAAACCATATCGTTTTCTGATTTCAAATTGCCATTTGAAATCCATTGAAGTCCATTTCAGCCCACTAATGCCCAGGACATCAATCTTTATGCATTCGTTTCACTTTTGAAAACTTCCATTTTTCCTACATTCATACTTCACGCATTCCAAGTTCCGATTTTTAGTATATGTTGCACCTGTTTCTTCTCACCTTGAGTTGTGCTCCATGAGCAATGAAGGTCCATGGGGCCCCATGCCCAAAGGCTTCACTCTCTTCCGGTCATCATGATTGACTCTACTTTGAGAAAGTAGCTCCTCCTTAGTCATATTTTGAGTTGTCTTCTGACCAGCGGGACCCAACCTCTGGCATATATCTGACAATGTTCTGTTTTCATTCATTAAAGGGTCAGTATCTGACGTTTCCATGCTAGGCATAAGATTTTCAGTGGCTACTTCCTCCAAAGCAGGCAGCCAATTTATTCTTTGTAATCTTAGTCTGGAAGCTCTGGGTGACCCTGATTGTATTTTAAATACCAGTAACATAGCTTCCAGTATCACAGAAACACAGAAGCCACCACTGTATAACAAACTGACAGACAAATGTCCAGATTGTCACTGGTCAATAGTTCCACGGAATTCAAGGAGGCTTAATTTACCTGGCAATTTGCAAATAGATTTTGGTCATTCACTGTCATTCATAGCCTTGCAAACCTGGTGCTCAGAATTTAAACTCTACTCTATCTCTATTCAATTTCCAGCTTCATTTTTGTCACCAAAATCATATTTCCCAATTACTAATTCCTCCTTTGTTTCTAACTTTATAATTCCAATCACCAGTAATTATCAATGAATACTGATTGCATGTTTGATCAATTACAGACTGAAGAAATTGGTGGAATTATTTTATTTTCTTCATCATTAAATTTAATGGTTGGAGTGGAAATGTGGATAATAAGTTTAATTAACCAGACATCCTGGTAGGCATATAGATACTATCCTATCACAGACAATGCTGTACTTTAAGATGAATCTCAAAGTGTTCTTTTTGATGATGAATGGGATGTCATTCCTCTTGAATTTGTCACTCTGGCATAGTGAACCACATGATTGCTTGATTAAAAATGGCTTACCTCCTGTAAAGCTTTTAGCTCACTAGTGCAGTTTGAAACCACCAGCCGTTCGGAGGGAGAAAAATGAGGCTTTCTATTTCCATAAAGAGTGGCAGTCTCAGAAACCTCAGGGACAGTTCTACCTTGTTTTAGAGGATCTCTATGAATTGGAATTGACTTGAGGATAGTGAGGTTTTGTTTTATTTTTCAAAAGCCTGTGATATCAATCTTTGTTTCATTTTTGAAAACTTACAATTTTCCTAACTTCGTGATTTGTACATTCCACATTCCTATTACCAATGGGTGTTTGCACCTGCTTCTTTTCATTTGATTTCCACCCCCACTTTGTTGGGATCACCAAGACTACACAAAGGGCCCTGTTAAATATTTCACTACCCTGCACCTCTCTTCCAGGAGCGTCTGATTAGCAAACACCCCGATGGTGTTACTAACAACCAGAGACCTTTCCCTAGCACACTCTGCTTTTCCAGGGACTGCATTCGACAGAGCTTTCCTCTGACTAGCCCCAGGAGCACTGACAGTGCAGTGGATTATGCTTGTGCTGATGACTACAAGGTCAGCAGATTGAAACCTCTCCACGGGAGGAAAATGAGGCCTTCTACTCCTGTGATGATATGTAGTTTTGGAAACCCTTAGGGGTGGTTCTACTGCCCCGGAGTTGGACTCGACTGGGTGTCAGCAAGTTTTTTTCTGAGTTTTCTCTTTAGCCAGAGAGGTTCTCACGCCTCCTTCACCCTTTACATTTGACCTGTGCTTAGCTGCTTCTGAGGAATGTGCCTCCCTGCAGGCTTCCCTGGGAAGCCACCTGGCAACTGGTGCAGGATGTGAGAGTTGTGGACCAAGGCGGTCAAGTCTCCTGTGGTTTTCATTAGCATTTCTCTATTCAATAATTACTCGAGCTGTTTCTGCAGGCCAAACAGAGCGGAGGCCGGGTGAGAGAAACGTGAAGTAAGCGAGGAGGCTTGAGAGGCTGGCTGGAAACGCCACTGGACACCAGCCTCCCTTCCTTTCTTGCTCGGCTACACAGCAGAGAGAGCAGAGCCCCCGCCAGGCGGCAGCCGAGAGGCGGCTCCTGCGGGCAGCGGGGGCGCTGGGCGGGGCCTGCGCTGGGCGGAGGGGTGGGCGGAGGGCGGGGCCTCCATCCCTGGGAGGTGGGGTGCGCGCCAGCGTCCCCCGCTCCTCCGCGCGCGTTCTCTGGAGTTCCCGAGGGCGCGCGGCCAGCCCCGCTCGGCGCCGCCGCACACGGAGCCTGTGGGGCGCGAGGCATCGGGACCCAGACCGGGCCGGGGCGCACCGCGGGGTCGCGAGGCCTAGGCGCGGCCAGTGGGGCGCCGATTCCAGCGCCCCTCCACAGCCCCTGCGGAGCGAGGGCGAAGACAAGGCTGCCTGGGGCCGAAACCATGAATCGGAGTTTCCACAAGTCTCAGACCCTGCGCTTTTACGACTGCGGCGCCGTGGAAGTCAAGAGCAAGGTAAGCGCGGAGGGGTGGCCGGCTGGGCCTTCGCACCCCTCCAAATGAATGGGGCGGGCGCGGAGGGCCCTGGAGGAGGGAGAGAGGGGCGCACGCAGCAACTTTCTGCGCTCGTGCACCGCTGGTCGCTCGGCGCGGCGCCGCGCGGGGCCCCGCTGCCCGCCCCGCAGACAAAGCCGGCGCTGGGAGGATCCGCTCCGAGCCGGCGCGCCCCGAGGGCCCAGGGGCAGGGGCCAGCCGGCGCGGGCCGAAACTGCTCTTTTGTTTCACCAGCCAAGGGGCGCCCAGGGCACGCCGCAGTTCTTGGAGAGGGCGGCATTTCCTGGGCGACCCGGAGCTGTGGGTTGCTCGGGGTTCGGGCCTCTGTCTAGGAGAGGGCCCTGGGCGCGCCGCCTCCTTTGGAGGGGGAAGACTCGTAACCGGCGAGGGGGCCGGCAGCGGGTGTCCCAAGCTGGAGCCCCGGACGAAACCCCAGGTACAGCGCCCTGGGTCCGGCCGTAGGACGCCCTCGGGGTCCCTGGACTGCACCCGGGTTCCCCATGGTCGCCAAGCTCTACGGGTCCTGGCACGTCCCCAGGTTTCTGGGTCCGCGCCCCCCGCCCCTCCCGCCAGCTCATCTCTCAGCCTCCGAAGCCCAGGTCCGACTGCCAGTTCCCCTGGAGTGGACCTCACAGCCCTCAGTCCTAGCCCCCAGTTCCCGACCCCCTCTGTTCCCGGGTACCCCCATCCCAGGCCCGGCCCCAGGCCCCGCTCCTCCATCAGCCTGCGCCCTGGCCCAAGCGTGCCCAAACCTGCGGGTCGCCGGGCGTGTGTCTGGATGGCTGTCTGATAGGATCTGGCCAATATGCCCTTTGCGGGGGCGGTTCCCCGCCACTCCTTCTACACTGTCGCTTTCTCGGACCAGGGACTCGGACCCCCCTCTCCAACCTCCTCGCGGAGCCGTGGTCTTTAGGGTGCCAAGCCAGGGAGAGGGTGTCCTTCAGACTTGTTACCCAGGAGCGGCTCTCCGTACCCACCCTCCGCGCCTTCTTCCTTCTCTGTAAAGCGCAAGCAGCGGTGGGGTGGTTTTGGGACTTCCACTCTGCGTCTGAGGAGCCCTGCCTCCAGGGAGGTGTAGACGGAACCCGGGAGGGCCAAGGGGGTGCCGGGGCGCAGTGGCCACACCCCAGCCACCAGCCCCTCTTTTGCCTGGAGTGCCCATGAAATAAATGCCCCTCTGGAAGATGGGGGGTGAGGGTGAGGGGGGGGGGCGTAGCAGTTGTAGGAAGTCTGACTAAACGCCCACTTTAATTCGGCCAGGTGTGATTTCGAGAGTCACAGGCCATCATGAACTTTGAGTGGTATTACTTTTTAAAAAGTTTTTCTTTTGAGATCGTGGTAGACTGCCAAAACATTGTAAGCAGGACTAGCGACCACCATGCACTGCTACAGGCAGCCGGGAAGTCCAGTGGATGGCTCCTACAGCCTGGTTTTCTCCTCACCAGCTCGGTGCCCACCTGAGCATGAGGCTGTGAGAGAGGGCGTGTGTCCCAAGGCCCTTGACAAAATCTGGGGCTCTTGTTCATGTGTGTGCACGGCCCGCGAGTATGTGCGGAGTTATCACACCTGCCCACTGTGTGATCACCACCTGCACAGCCCTTTCACAGTGGCTCCTTCCTAAATTCCATTAGGATTGGAAACCTTAGTGCCTGGGTGGCATGGGCCACAGGTCAGGTGCTGTGTAGCCTATTAGTCAGCCCAGCTGGAGGGCCAGCACAGGGAGGGGCCTTCCTGCCTGTGCTGTGCAGTGGAGAACCCTTCCTCTCTCCAGGTGTGTGGTTCTCTTAGGCCTCTGGCCTGGGTCTGGGCTAGCTGGCTATTCGCCATCCATGCTGGCCGGAATTCACTGTTTGTTCAGAGAGGCCCAGGCTCTTCCCTCTGGACACCCTCCCACAGGCTGGCTTTGTAGTTACTGGTCGTCAGCACAAGGGATGTTTGAACCTGATTTGAAGGGTAATTAGAAAAGCTGTTTGCACCTAGCTTGGACAATCACACAGCCCCCTCTCCCCCCAACCCCCCTGCGAAGTGGAGGGAGCGAACCCTGAGGGAGACACTGCCTTCAGCCGGCCTTTTGCAGCACCACCGGACATGGACTTGGATGTAGGGAACCGGGCCCAAGCCAGCTGCACCTTCTTCAAGCTTTCTTTGAGGCTTGGCTCCACTGAGCCTCATGTGCTTTCTCTATAGAAGAGCACAATACCTGTTCTGCTTGCCTTCCAGGACCAAATGATGCAATGAACTTGAAGGCACTCCCCATTGCAGGAGCTGAGCTGTAGGTCATGGCATTGGGTCTGCAACCGCCTTAGACCCTTGCAGAACTCATGGCATCATCTGGCTGCCACAGCTGGAGAGTTCCCAGTGGCTTGGGCACAGCCACATCTGTGAACCAGAAGGGCATGCTCTTGGTCTGTCCATTCCCTCCCTTCCCCAGACACTCCCACTTTGACACCAGCTTTCCATGGCACCCCCAGATCAGCCACATGGACTTTTGGTTCTCAAAATTGGGTCCCTTTTCCCACTTCGTTGGCTTGTTCCTCTCCTTGTAGAAGACCGGAAGGAAGGAAGGAAGGAAGCCCCCTGGCAGACTTCTGGGTGTGGGGGCCCAGTGAGTTTCACTCAGGGGAGGTAGAAAAAGAGCCCTCAGAAATTCTGAATGCCTTATGAGCGCCTGTGTTTGTCAGCCCCACGACTTCTGCACATGTTTGGAGACATTCATCCACGGGGTGGGTGGGTGCCAGCTTGCACAAGTGCACTCGCTGCATCTCCATTACCCGCTACCCCTCGACCCCTCCCCGCCAGGTGCCACCCCCAGGTAACCTGCCTGAGTTAAGTATTCCAAGGTTCCTTCCAGCTCAGACATCGACTACCCGCTTCTCCTGGTTTCAGGCTCCAAGCGAATGGCTGAATCCATGCCCACTTGGCCCCACGGCTCTGGTTTAGTTACACTCCACCAGCTTTCTCAGAGAAGCTGCCCTGCCTTGATGGCCTTTGAAAGTGCTTCCTTTTCTAAGATTCTTGATTTGCCACCTGCCTTCTCTACTGCTTCCCACTCTTACTCGAGTGTCTGCGTCCCTTGTGGCAGTGGTACAGTGCTGGCTTCGAAGTAGCTGCCAAACCACTGAGAAGCATGGCTCAACCACATCACCACAACCTTAACTATCACAGCCAGTGTTACATTTGTCTCGCATCTTGGCATTTGCTACTGCCAGCTGTGTACATCATTAATGTGCACAATAATGTGGGTAGTAGATTTTTTTTACTGCTGTTGTAAGTGCAACAACGTTTGATGCTGAGATGACTGGTGATTGAGGAGTAGATGTATTTCCATTTTTGCTGTAATTAACTATGCTGCAACTAATGCCTCCATTGTTGTCTTTCAATAAAATAACGCATACAGAATATATTAATGTAGATATTACGCAATGTAATGTAGGAGCCCTGGTGGCATTGTGGTTACATGATGGACTGCTAACCACAAGGTCAGCAGTTTAAAACCAGCTGCTCTGAGGGAGAACGACGAGGGTTTCTACTCCCATAAGGAGTTACAGTCTTAGAGACCTACAGGGGCAATTCTACCTGGTCCTACAGATGGTGGTGGATTTTGAGTTTATTGCAGAAGGTATATAAAGATTACCGGTCATGTTAAATCAGTGCAGAACTCTGGTGATTTTTTTCCCACCACCCACCAAAATCTGATGATTCATTCAGGACAAAATCCCAGACATGAAATCACTGGGTTTAAGAGTATGCACATTTTTAAGGCTTTGAACTCATACCGCTAAGTTGTCTTCCAGAAAGACTCTTTACTATTTCTACTGTTTCTCTCCCACCATGCATCTAAGCTATAGGTAGTCTGTCATTCCTTGCCAATTTAATAACTGAATCCGTGGTGCATGCTCCAAATGTCACTTCTTGACTCACTAGTGAATTGAACATGTATTTATTGGCCAGCTGTGTATTTTCTTCATTGTCTACTTATGTCTTTCTTTTGTGGGGAGGTTCTTTTTTAAAAAGTATTTTATTGTGAATTAGGTGAGAGCTTCCCTTTCAGATCATGATTTCCATGTGGAACAATTCCCCCACCTTATCACACCTCCTGAGAGCTGGCCCCTCTCCCCTCTGCCTCTTCTCCCCGTTGACTCCTTTTCCTGCTCCCTTTGAGTTCTCTTTAATGATTTACAGGGCTGCTTGTCCACAGGGGGGTTGCTGGACAGCCCACTTGATGCTGAGGTGGGGCTGGACTCGGGAGTAGCCTCCACCCAGGGGTTAGCCAGTGCCAGAGGTGTGCGGGAGGAGGCGGGTGCTGGCCAGGGCTGTGTCAGCAGGTTTCTTCTGGTCCTCAGGTTGTTGCCTGTGATTGTGGTGATTTGCAACTGGGCCTGGCACTGCAGGTAGACCTATGTCCTTCCATCTGGGGTGACCCGAGACAGCAGGGGCAATGGGCCTTGGGCCGGACAGGCGTCTCCCGTTGGGTGCTTGCTCTTGTGGTCCGTTGGGAACTGCCTGGACAGTGTGACTCACCTGCGTGTGTCAGCTCCACCCTTGAGATCCGGTTTTGTGTATCTGTGCACGGCCGTGTTTCAACAGGTCCGACAACTTGATTCAGAGTTGTACGTGGAGGAGGAGACTCTTATCAGGCACTGAGCGGGAAGCATCGGTGGGTGGACTCTGATGGGGGGGGGGGAGGCCCTGCGTGCAGATAAAGGAGTCTGCGGGGGGCGGGGGGTGGGGGGAGTATCTGGCCATCGAGGATGCAGGCATTCAGGAGTGTTCACACTTAGGAATGACACCCTTCCTCACATACCAGCCTCCTGTCTCTGAGAGGGGTAGAGCAGGGGTCCACCAGGCTGCTCCGAGGCTGCTGCCGTGGGACAGCCACACACTAGTGGCCCCACCCCTCTTGTGAGCCTGGGGAGCAGTGGGTGCACCATCCCCTGAGCACACTGGGGGTATATCTGTGG